TTTTCTATTCATAATTCAATATTTTTTTCTCCGTTCCTATTTATGCTACGATGCTGAGGCTTGGGCTAGTTGAACCAAACTTTACATACTACTAGACAAAAAAGTTTGATTGAAATCAAATAATTTTTCATTTAACGCATTTTTAGGTAATACGGCCCAAATACCAACTCCAACCTATCACCTGGTAAAAAGACTTAACGAACTCCTAACTCCATACACTCCCAGCAACTATAGTCTATAATCATCAGCAGATTTCCTAGAAATAATCAAAACTACACAGCCCGATGGAATTATTGCTTCACTGGACGTCGAATCCCTATTTACCAACATCCCAGCTAACACCTAATTAGACATACCAATGACACACTTGAAGAGCCTTCTCGAGGTATGTACAAAGGAAGCTCCTTTCATCAGTCCGCAAGGTTACATGTATCTACAAATAGACAGAGTAGCAATGGGTTCCCCATTAGAAGTGTTATTCGCTAATTTTTACATGAGAACCATCGAAGATAAAGTCAAAAGGCAAAAACAAATAGTATACTGCCGTTATTATAGATGATATATTTGGCATAGTAAAAGACCCAGATGAACTAATTGATCTAAAAATTCATCTAGAGAGAGAGTCAGTACTTCGTTTTAACCATGAAAATAGTGAAAATAACAGTCTGCCATTCTTGGATGTACTAATAACAAATACAAGAGCCTCTCTGAACACCAGTGTATATACTAAGCTCACTAACATAGGACTATGCCTAAACTTTTTTTTTTAACATGCAAGGATGCAATTTAAATACAATAAAAACAAGACAAGAACATAAAAAACATAACAAAACAAAGCAATAAACCACCGGCCAGAAGGGCCGACAGCACAGTACAACAAATAACAAACACAATAAATGCATGAAAAACACAGCATTCATCAAGACACAAAATAGAAAACAATGTCAAACAAGCAAGCACAGTAACAGTACAAAACAAAACACTCTAAAACAAAACAAACATCAAGAGGTACAACATAAAACATAACAAGAAAATCAAAATATACAACAACAAAACCAAAATAACAAACAAGTACAACATGTAATGCAATAATAAAACACCAGAGCAAAGGTACATCACAGAAACAAGACATGAATAAAAACACTCACACCAAACCAACCGCCCCACAACAAACAAAGGGAGAGGCCAAAGTATACAATAATAACAAACAAACAATCCATGCAATCAAGAAAACGAAACATAGTAACATACACAACAACAAACAAGCACCGGCCAAAGGGACCGAGAACAAAATACAACATAAAGGACATCATGAAATAGAACAAGCAAACCCACAGCACACAACAAGCCAAACATAAAAAAAACAATAATAAAAACAAAAATAAAAACAAAAATAAAAAAAATAAAAACAAAAAACAACACATCCTAGCAATGCATAAGTAGAACACACATGGCAAAGTAACAACACAAAAGCAAATACAGGAATAAAAACGCCCTCACCAAAACACCTGCCTCGCAACAAATAAATGAGAGGCACGGGCACAAAATACAATACGGCAAACAAAAGGCCATCGGGGCACACAACACTACAGTAACATGGAATCAGCTGACATATTTGCCCGGTGTTACAAAAAAAATGTGTGTTCTATGGGGAGTCTAGCGTTAATGGATGTAGGGGCAGTAGTTAGCAATAAGGGTTATCAAATATGGGAGATCTAAAAGGCCCAGCCCCATTAAATATATTAACATAAACTTGTAGTGGCTTATTACAGCAATAGTCAGCCTAGAGGTTGATCATAGATCTCCTACACAGGAAAAATGGATACTCCTTTAACTAACTTACTAATTTATTAACCCCTTTACAACCCCCCATATACATTCTCACCATATACATACTCATATACATACATAAATAGGAAGGGAGAAAAAAAATATTGAAGTAGGTTTCAAAATTATTCCAAAATGGTCAAAAACGATTATCAAACACAAGTGTCAACTGAAATCATATCGATGACTCTCGGCTATCTCAATAGCATATATTTAAAAAAATATTAAAATTAGTGTTATTAGAAAAAAATTAAAGTTAAAAAAAAAATTATGTTTTTTCCCAAAATGTTTCATTTTTTTTTATCGGATGATTTTCATGAAACTTATACACCTGAATGCACATAAGCCTATCTGTAAAGGTGTCAGTTTTGGAGAAAACTGGTTGATGTCAACCTCAGCCACAGATGGCAGCACGTTAGACTCTATCATTTTCCTATATATTTAAAATGTTTTTAAATAACATAAATGATTGAATAACTTTTTTATTTTTTTATTCAATTTACATGAAACTAGTACGTTATATGTAAAGTGTATGTCTCTAAACCCCCAACTTATCGTTTTTTGCTAAGTTCATTTATTGATTTTATAATATCAATAAACATGACATATTTGCATAATTCTTTGGGCGAACTTTGAATATTTGTATTAGGAAAACTAAAGATGTTTTGTAAACTCCATAAGTTACGAACCTTTATTATATGCGACTGTGTCAGAAAAGTGTCATAGAATGATTATATCTGAAAAGTGTGATTCTTTATTCACACTCAAAAATGTGTAAAATTAAAAAATAACAAAAAAATATATATCTCCCTTTCTATTTAGGCTGCAGTACTGAAACTTGGCACAATTGCAGCCCTTTTCATATACAACTAGTCAAAAAATATTGGTTGACATTGAACAACTTCTCCAAAATCGAAGTAATGCCTCCCAAGTTGAATTCGAAGCACCTCGAATGCAGTACTTACAGAATGCATTCGAGTATGCACCTCGAGCATACTTACAATTCTTTCCATTGAAGTATACCCAATTATCATTGAATGATCATACATTTGCTTTTAATTATTTGTCTAGTCAGGAGTTGACACCCCCTGTTCCTAGAGAGAAATTCATTTAGCACTTCCCATCTTGAAAGAATGCTACACATGTTTAGGATCCCTCCCTTGCTCCTTCTTAACTCAATAGCTGGTTTACATTTCTCTATTATTGCCTCACTCCTAACTCTTCCTTTTTAATTTCTTCCATTGCTAATACATAGGTTTCTTCCCATTGCCATGAATAATATTAATTTTGTTAATATTCCTTATTCTCGTTCTTAGATAGCAAACCCTTAAATTGTTTATCATATCCCTAGAACAGAAAGTCGTGCCCATTCATCTGACCTCTGAAACCCTGACAACTATTATGGGCTATTAATGCCCGCTGCCTCCTCTTGCTTGTCTTAATCTTCATCAATCAATCAATCTGACAGCCAAAGTTCCTCTACTGCTTTAAAACACACGACATGATAATGGTCCTGGATGGACCAAAACGTCGTCGTTTCTTCATCTTCTGATGGGTAGTTTACTCATCATGTCTTCAGCCACGTTATTGTGACTCATCGTCTGAACTATTATATGACTTATTTTACGCATTTTACCAATCTCATTTTCTAAAAATGATACAACGTTTCCTTTTATTCTTTTATATGTCATCACACTGTATGTGCAATAACAATCTACACCTTACTCTTCCAAGCAGGAACATAACAGACATTGTTCTGGACCTGGACCAGCAATGCGAGACAGTATTCTTAACCTCATACCACTTTCTCCTCATTACCAAGCATTCGTCTTCCATACTTCATTATTATTATTTCACTTTATCTTTGTCGCAAATAAGCCAAGCCCATCATACCTTCCTTTCAACACTTCCAAAGTGTGTTCTTCATTCTTTACTCTTACATCCACTCAATTACATAAATGTCTCATTGTTTACCCATATCCTGGACAGGTATGGGTCCCTGACGTGAGGCTGTTTAAACTTTAGTGTTGAAAATATTGGAAAGAAAGGTCATTTCCCACAAATTAAAAGGATGAAGAAAGAATGAGAGAGCTGGATCTTTCTACATTAGAAGGGAAAAAAGAAAGCGTGATTTCAACGTGTATGATGCTAAGAGTAACTGACAAATTAGCTAAAGATGGTTGTAGGTGGTAAAATCACCTAAACGTCAGTTTTCAGAAATTGTCAGTGTCACGAGAGAATAAACCATAGAAGGACTACTGTGCATTTGAACTTTCCATTGTGTAGCTCTAAATTAGTAGTTCTGACCACGAACGATTATGGCACTTCAAATCAATTGAGCCTTGCAGAACCCTTAAGGTTCCAACTAAGGTACAAAGGCCAGTAACAGCTTGTAATCCTATATTAAAATTAATCGAGGACGCTCGTTACATTGAAGAAATATTTTTCACGGTTTTACTGAAATAATAAAATAACAAACAATGCCTGAAATACTTTATCACATAGTGCAATGCATATATTACAGATCACAAACTATCTCATGTAATATGTTTAATTCCAGGCGAAGTCCCCCTAATACCCCTCCACTTGTAAATGTATGTAAGGTCGGACATCAGCCTACACCCTGCTGGTCCTCAAGCTGTTGATGGACGTCATGAAAGCAAATGAATTTACCAGTTTTGTTATATTAACGTGCAAAAGAGGTCTTGCTCACTAATTGAAAAAAATAACTTATAATCATTGCTTTTCAGCAACGTAGAAGACATCAAGCATGAATTAAATTATTTTGAACACAGGAATATTCTATATTTGTTTGTTTCTTTGTAGAAATTTGTCACTTTAAAATTGATCTGATACATTTTACCGTGGTAAATTAGTTAATTAATTTCACAATGAATCAGCTATATGAAGTTAACATAATAATACAATCATTATTACGCATTATCAAACTCATAATTACCTTCACTATAAAATCAAATTAATAAATTAAAGTAAAACGATGAGAAGAACATTGTCGTTCTAGATGGGTGTCTGTCTGTCGATTATATTGTTGTCATGGATAGAAACCACATTAATATTATGTTATTACAACCTAGTGCACTCTCTAAATCCACTATTATAATGTAAGAAATTTAAAATAAGTTATAAAACTTTAAAAGATAACTTTAACTTACAAGTTAACTGAGATCTTTAAACCGAGGGTCGTCTAGGTCTTGTTGGCTGGGGATTCCAGAGAGTAGTGAGCGGACGTCGAAGGTGCCGCCGGTATTGTCTGTCCGGTCTCTTGGCCACGCCTTCCTTGTCTTGGGCCGCCGCTCTGGTGATTTCCACGCCTTCCCTGCCATGAGCTACCGCTAGGGTGATAACCACGCCTTCCCTATTGCAGTCCGGTCTTCTCATTCGTGAGCTGATGGCTGCGTGCTGGCCACACCTTCCGCCTGGGGGAATCACTCCCTTCCCTATTATGAGGCTACTTGCGTATGTTAGCTACGCTCCCCTTTCCCAGGTTGTTGGCCTGAGTCCGGATCTTGACAAGCCTTCACCGTCGTTGGCAAACTGCCGGAAGTTTGCCGAACCTTCCATTGTGTGGGTGGATGGCTTGGTGTTGGCCATGCTTCACTTGCCATTGACCGCCTCATGATTCAAAAGAAATGAACATCCCATGTAACGACTGACTGGAACTTGTAGAGCCAACATAGTAGGCTCAATTGCTCATTTAGATGTATGGGTAAGTATGCATGTTGGTATAACATATCTATTTCTTTTTAATTTGCTTCACACAAGTTTTGTCATTTTAGACATTTAAAAAGTCTCCTATGTACAATGGTTTAAAGAATACCATCATTTGAGTTATTATTTTATATAATAGTAATCCTAAATAAGTCCTTCAAGCGAAAACAGTTAATGCAGGTATAATAATTTTTAACAAAAGATATTTGTGTGAATAAACTAATGGTACATCTTTATACAATTATTAAGCGATTTTTTTTAAATACGATATCAAAATATATAAAAAAAATGCCTATTTGTATGTCTGTCTTTTTGTCTGTTCACGATTTGCAGCCAAACTGTTGCGGACAGTTTAGGTACACAACTGTGGATGGTGAATTGTGATTGTATGGCGAGCGTCATAGGATGTTTGGGGTGAACTTCTATGCCGGTCTTTAAGTAGGAGTCGCTCCTAGTGAGATATCCAGCGACTCCAGTGGTCGCAAATGTGGGTCTCACTGTCCATATAGTGTTTTTCAACTTATTTATTTTCTGTTTTTGATATTGAATTGACAATACAACACCGATAATGTTGATGCAACGGTTACTCGAGTATGCTTTGGGCCTCTGGGAGAGAGAGAACGGCAGGGTCAAACAGAAGTGGATTGAGGGAGGCAGAATGGGAGAGCTAGAGCGAGAATGGAAGGGAGGGAAATGGGAAAGGGGAAAGGGAGAAAGAGAGGTAGGGTAAGAGACTGTGAGGTAAGGGTGAGAGAGAATGGGAGAGAGGGAGGGAGAATAGGAGAGAGGAAAATGATAAACAAAAGGACAATAGCCTGGCCACCCCTGGGTTCTCCTTCTAGTCTATACTGTAATATTGTCTCTTTGTTCGTCTGTATGTATGCTTGTCTGTCTATCCATAGTTGGAGACCCAACACTTGGGGATAGCTTGCAGGGGAAAACGTCTGGTGTTCGGGACGGACATAGGCTGGTTAAGTAAGGTAAGCTAATGTCAAATGCTTTAATAACTATTAGCAGTATAGAAGTCGCCCCCCCCCCCCCAAGCTATTTTCTAGGATTAAGTGTGAAATATTTGGTGTGATTTTCTTAGTTTTTAATGATCGTTGTAATATATTTATGAGGAACTCAATTTGTTGCTTCAGGGCTTCTTAATAAAAAAATATTCAGTGGGAAGGGGGGAAGGGAGGAAGCCAGAGAATGGGTGGAAGATTAGGAGGAGGAGGACGAAGGGAGGTAGGAAGAGGGGAATGGGGAAGAGGTGGGTCAAGGGGGAGGTGGGGACGGGTGAGGAAGAGGGGAAAATTGTGGGAAGAGAACCGGGTGCATCTGGGTAATTGTTCTGTAGATATTTACAAATAGAAATATCCCATTTATGGTTGGCGGGGATAAGTGGGATGGTAGGAGAAGGAAAGGGTGAGGAGAAGGGGAAAAGGGGGGGTGATGAGAGGGAAGATGTAGAGGGGAGGGGATGAGAGGGAAAATGTAGAGCGGAGGGGATGAGAGGGAAGATGTAGAGCGGAGGGGATGAGAGGGAAGAAAGGAAAGGGAAGGGAGAAAGGGAGAGGAGAAAGGGAGGGAAGAAAGGGAGAGAGAGGAAAACGTGAGCATTGCGGATGGGAGGGAAGATGGTAGAATAGGGGGAAATTTGAAGAGAGGGGGAAATTATGAGAGGTGTAATGGAGTTTGTGGTGAGAGGCAGACTATCCCGGGCACAGCCGGGTACCCAGTCTAGTATACGTATGTATCAGCAATGGTTCCAACAACTTTGTATTCAACAAATCTCTAACAATTATTTTTTCATATTTTTTTACACAATTTTAATGTTAATTTAATACAATCTCCGTCAAAGTCGTCCTTTAACTTTTCTTCATACACCCAAGACTTAAGACATATATATCTCTCTGTTATATCACACATACTAACAAGTTATTGAGTAAACGCCCACATTTCTTTTGTCAATACTTCCCCATTCTTAGTGCTATGAATAAGGCTACAACTTACACGTAGAACTAACTTTTTAACATAACGATAAAACCCATAACCTAACAACAAATCACAAACCATACAAGAAACGCCAAACCCTCTAACTTACACCCTAAGCACACAACAAATACTCTTAATTGAGAACTAATTCCCTGCCTTAAGAGGCCTTAACGCAGTAAAATAAAAGTGGTTCAATTTCAATCAAACTTTATTTTCTAGTTGAATATTAAAAGGGCTGCAACTGGTCCAAATTTCAGTATTGCCCAGTAAATAGAAAGGGACTTAGTTTTTTCTTCGAATTTTTCACATTTTCAATAAGTCAGTGCAACAACAAGTTTCAAATGAAATCATTTCTATGATATTCTTCTATCACGTTATTAATAAGGGATTGGTCTAAACGGATTATCCAAAATATGTATAGGTTTAATAATACAAACAGTCAAATTTCCCCCCAAAATTTATTCCAATATTTCATATTTGCAAATATTTATGAAGTCAATAAAGGAACTTAGGAATAAAGTGTTTTAGTGAGATTGTAGAGACGTAAACGCTACATGTAAGGTGTAAGTTTCATATAAATTGAATAAAAAATGAAAGAGGACTAGACATTTTATTTTACTTGACAATAAATGACAATAAATAAAGTCATAGATTCTGCCACCTGTAGTTGAAATTGACATCAACCAATTTCCACCAAAATGGGCACCCCTACAGATAGGCTTACGTTCGCTAAGGTTTGTACGTTTCATGAAATCACCCAATAAAAAATATGAAAAACAAAATTGAGAAAAAAAATCTAATATTTTTTTTAACATTTTTTAGGCATATAACTAATTATTAAAAATACTTTATTATATGATATTCTGATTGCTTAGAGTCATAGATAAGATTTCAGTTGTCACTTGTGTTTTATGTTAATTTTTTACCATATTTGACATTTATTGAAACATAGTTCGTTATTTTTTCTCCCTTTGTAATTATGCTACGATGCTCAGACTTGGACCAGTTGAAGCTCATTTCATATACAACTTGCAAATAAAGTTTGATTGAAATTGAACAACTTTCATTTTATTGCGTTAAGGCCCCTTAAAAAGGTACTCCTTTACCATGCATCTTCATCCTTAAACCTCATAACTGCCCCTCCACACCCACGAGTAGCCTCCTGACATCACAAGTCCCACCAACACTACATAACTTACCCTTAGCATAAGGCTCTCAGTATAACCCACAACACAACTAGCCAACTAACAACTCAACTAACCTACTAACAACCCAACAAACCCACTAACAACTCAACCATCCGTATAAGCACCCATAGCACACAACCAATACAAATACACTAACAATACTAACAATCTAATCACTTAATAAACCCTATACCCAGACAACGTATGCCCTAAACTCACAACTGATGCCCAAACCCCACAACTAATACCCTAACCACACAACTGATACCCTAACCACACAACTGATGCCATAACCATACAACTGGTGCCATAAGCATTCAACTGATGCCTTACCATGCACTATTACAGCCCCCCCCACTACACCCTGTGATACACACCAGCACGCACTATCCCTTAACGGCTTGACCAACACGACCAGACAAAAGAGGATAGTTGGGGGGGCAATTTCCATCCCCCGCCGGCATTCGGTTGATAATTATGGGCATGGTATTTTATCAAATCACATCATTCGTTGGGGCACAAGTGAGGAACACAAATGCGAACAAGTTTGAATAGCCCCCAGGACTATATGCAACTGAAAACTCACACCACAGATTTGTCTCAAACCCATACTGCCAGGAGCACTCTGCTGGCGTACAGGATCCCTTAACCACTCGACCAACACGATGGGACAAAAGAGGATGGTAGCCTAGGCAATTTCCATCCCCCCGCCGGCCCTTGGTTGGTAATCTTTGGCATGGTATTTTATCAAATCACCTCATTCATTGGGGCACACATGAGGAACACAAATGCAAGGAAGCGTGAATGGTCCCCAGGACTATATTCAACTGAAAACTCACACCCCAGATGTGACTCGAACCCATACAGCCAGGAGTACTCTGCTGGTGTACAGGATCCCTTAACTAATCGACCAACACGACCGGACGAAAGAAGATGGTAGTCGAGGCAACTTCCATCTCCCCGCCGGCGCTGGGTTGGTAATCTTGGGCAGGGTATTTTATCAAATCACCTCATTCTTCGGAGCTCACGTGAGGAACACAAATTCGAACAAGCCTGAATGGTCCCCAGGACTATATGCAACTGAAAACTCACACCCCAGATGTGAATCGAACCCAAACTGCCAGGAGCACTCTGCTTCCCTACAGGATCCCTTAACCGCTCGACCAACACAACCGGACAAAAGAGGTTAGTAGGCGAGGCAATTTCCATCCACCATTGGCATTCGGTTTGTAATCATGGGCATGGTATTTTATCAAATCACATTATTCTTTCAGGCACACGTGAGAAACAGAAATGCGAACAAGCCTGAATGGTCCCCAGGACTCT